AGCAAATGGTAGACCATAGGAAATGTAAATTCTTCAAATTTGTATAGTTCGTGCTAAAGACGCAGATAATATTGTGACTAGGAAAATTTGCGCAAGCTAGAGTTGTAACAAATAATACAGTTTTTCTGCTTTCGTTGTGAATATTCAAGAAGACTTTATATGTACAACACAAGACATCTATAGTCGTAAAATTCCAAAAAAAAATAGAAAAAATACTACTCATGCAAAATTAATCATACATTTTGCTAAATTGGTGTAATGGAGGTTTTAAACATTTTTGTCCTTGTTTTGGCATAAAAATTGATGTATCGTATGGAATAAAAAAATATAAAACTTTTAAGAAATTGAAAAAAAAGTAATTTTGAAACTGCCCCAAAAATTTTTTTTTCAACCGCAAATCGAATTTTGTGCTCAAACAAACGTTTTCCAAAATTGCATGCAAAATTTATTTTTTTTAAGTAGGGAGATTATAATGTCTCTTTAACTGTTACTTTTTTTGAAAATCATATTTTTTTTTGATAAAAATTGGTCAGTGCCAGAACATAAAAACCAGGGTTGACAGATATCTTACAATGCACCATGCCTTATAGATTTTTTTTGCTGTCAAGCACTGATTATTTATGCGCCAGCGTGGTTTTTGTGTGGGATCTTCAGCATTGGTAACTTTGTTCCGGATCAATTAAATAGAGGTTCAAGCCACTACAGGTCGGGATTGAACGACTTATAAACAGTTGCTTTTTGATTGGTTCATTTCCCAATTTTGCTATCTTCTCAAAGCTTCGTTAATCAATTTTTTTTCAGAAATACAAGTTTGAATTTGAACAGATTATAGTTTTGGATCAACTGTATAATCTCCTCCACTAAGTGGCCCAGCGCAGAATCGTAGAATGACTTTCCCAAGCACGTAGAAACTTGAAAACTAATTCCGTATGAAGTATTCAGTTCAAACAAGCGCTATATAAACTGCTGGAGAAAATTCATAAAGATAAACAGCTATTTTATCATTCAAATAGCGTAAAACAACAATCATAATTTGATATCAATTGAGTTTTTTGACTAATTAGATCATTTGTTTGCCCTCAAAGTCAACTTTCGAAAAATTTATGTTCATAAATCTAACCTTAAATCTATTTGGGAGTGCGGATTGTACAGTTGATCCATAAACCTTGCTAGTTCTGAAGCACAAATTAGCCCAAAATCATTTTTTCTTTATCTTGAGCTTATATTTATTATTTAAAATTTGATTGGCTAATATTAGCCAACCAAAGTCACGCAACACGGTCAGGCATTTCAAATTCAATCATTTCAATTAACTTTTCCGGCCAGGCCTTAAAGGATTCTGCTAGCCAAATAGATTCTATGTTTTTTGAACACCAAACACGCATCCAAGCTCTACCCGGCTAAACTCCAAATACAAAATGCTCTATTTCTCAGAAACACAAAAATGAATCTATCCGCGACTCTACTAGTCTACTACTTTGCTTCCTGAAAACGCTCTGTTAGTTTTTTAAATTGACTTTTTTCTCAAAAAGCAATTTCGAGCAGCAGAAATCACTCTATACAGCAGTAGAAATTTTGGGGCCTGTTTTCCAGCAGATAAAAAGCAGCCAAAATTAGTGATCTCGGTGAATATTGTCAAATAATGAAATTAACTTCAAGACACTAATGAAACTTTGCCCTGACAAGAAATGTTCAGTAAAATGGCTTCAACGGAACAAAATTGGCTAATTAGACGATCAACTTGAACCACAATAATTTCAGGTCAAGAGATCAAGATGCAGAAATTATTTCTTTTGTAGTTCTTTTTTCTTTTGTAGTTCTGAGAAAAAAAGCAAAGTTATGCTAGTAAGACATTTTGTAAACTTTTATGCTAGTCGAGCTTTATGCTAGTCGAGTGGTCATCGCAAAGAGGTTTCTGAAAAAAAATTGCCTGACCTGTAATTCTTAAAGTGATTTCAGATGCAGAAATTGGTAACTTTGTACATACCTTCTGCAAATTGAAAAACGTCTCATATTCAGCTGAATAATGCGTTTAAAATGGTCACTAGCTGCACTGGTTGCACTTAATGTACTGAAATAACACCAAAATATCCCTTTAATCCTGTTTGAATTACATCCAAAAGCAGCAACTCCCTTTTTATACTTCCGTGCTTCCAGAGGTCATTTGAAAAGGCTAAATACATTTACACCGAAAAACCCCATAAAACTATATGATCGATTTCTCAAATTTTTGATAATTGAAACTCAGAAATCAATCCAGAAAAGCTTGATTTTTGATCAAAAAAGGTAAGAGCATCTACAGAAATTGGTTCATTCAAAAATATTTTCTGACTTCTCAGTAAATATACAAAAGTTTGTTTTTGTCATGACGTTGGGAGTCTTGTTGAACAAAAAATTGGCTGCTCGAATACACTTGAAGAAGCTTTGGATTATCGAATATTCCAGTCCATCTTTTTATTTTGGTTGCTCTGATAAGTCTAAGCAAAAAGAAGCCTTTTTGCCTTGTTTTTATCGCTTCTACCCGTACTCAAAAACACTTTAATCTTTGCCTATTTTCCTTTTCTAGTGGTCGTTTAATGTACCTGTTAGTATAACCATTGATTATTTGTTATAACAAAGTATAGGCGCGGGCACATTTACAGGGGATGAAGATAGCGATATTATTATTACAGCCTTTACTTGAAAATCTGACAATGAAATTTAAGAAAAACATTTCACAAATTGTTTTTTAACCCCATTTTTATGATCGATGGTAATTAGATTTAACAGTTAAGTTACCTAACTCAGTTATTTTCCTTCAAATATCAAAAAACTGTATCATTTATGTCTTAAATTACTTTACTATAAGCACACATTTTGGTGGTCAGTTTTCAAATATTTTTTTATTTTGTTCAACTGGTTATTCGAGAACAAAATCATTGTGGCGTTAAATTCAACTTATTAGACCAAGAAAAACTGTGAACAACGTAACTTGTTTTTTTTTCCGAATCTAAAAAGCTTACAATTACGTTGAAAATTGTTGTTTGCATTTTTGTAACACTTGATTGTATGTTTTAAAATTAAATTGAACTTTTTTAACCTGAAATCATTTTAATTTTAAATTCGACTGAACACGTTTAGTAAAACTCAGGTGTTGATTTTTCGTGTTTTCAAATCATGTTTGGTTTGAACTGCTCGGCATTGCTGGTATTACGTTAAGAATACACATTAACAAATGGTAATAGATACAATACACGAATAGTTACTATCAGACGTTCAATCAATGATATAGTAAAAATTAGTCTTTCACCAGTACGAATAAGACTTGGTTTTTAGTTTGAAACTTGTGCTTACCATACAGCAGTAGAAATTTTGGGGCCTGTTTTCCAGCAGATAAAAAGCAGCCAAAATTAGTGATCTCGGTGAATATTGTCAAATAATGAAATTAACTTCAAGACACTAATGAAACTTTGCCCTGACAAGAAATGTTCAGTAAAATGGCTTCAACGGAACAAAATTGGCTAATTAGACGATCAACTTGAACCACAATAATTTCAGGTCAAGAGATCAAGATGCAGAAATTATTTCTTTTGTAGTTCTTTTTTCTTTTGTAGTTCTGAGAAAAAAAGCAAAGTTATGCTAGTAAGACATTTTGTAAACTTTTATGCTAGTCGAGCTTTATGCTAGTCGAGTGGTCATCGCAAAGAGGTTTCTGAAAAAAAATTGCCTGACCTGTAATTCTTAAAGTGATTTCAGATGCAGAAATTGGTAACTTTGTACATACCTTCTGCAAATTGAAAAACGTCTCATATTCAGCTGAATAATGCGTTTAAAATGGTCACTAGCTGCACTGGTTGCACTTAATGTACTGAAATAACACCAAAATATCCCTTTTATCCTGTTTGAATTACATCCAAAAGCAGCAACTCCCTTTTTATACTTCCGTGCTTCCAGAGGTCATTTGAAAAGGCTAAATACATTTACACCGAAAAACCCCATAAAACTATATGATCGATTTCTCAAATTTTTGATAATTGAAACTCAGAAATCAATCCAGAAAAGCTTGATTTTTGATCAAAAAAGGTAAGAGCATCTACAGAAATTGGTTCATTCAAAAATATTTTCTGACTTCTCAGTAAATATACAAAAGTTTGTTTTTGTCATGACGTTGGGAGTCTTGTTGAACAAAAAATTGGCTGCTCGAATACACTTGAAGAAGCTTTGGATTATCGAATATTCCAGTCCATCTTTTTATTTTGGTTGCTCTGATAAGTCTAAGCAAAAAGAAGCCTTTTTGCCTTGTTTTTATCGCTTCTACCCGTACTCAAAAACACTTTAATCTTTGCCTATTTTCCTTTTCTAGTGGTCGTTTAATGTACCTGTTAGTATAACCATTGATTATTTGTTATAACAAAGTATAGGCGCGGGCACATTTACAGGGGATGAAGATAGCGATATTATTATTACAGCCTTTACTTGAAAATCTGACAATGAAATTTAAGAAAAACATTTCACAAATTGTTTTTTAACCCCATTTTTATGATCGATGGTAATTAGATTTAACAGTTAAGTTACCTAACTCAGTTATTTTCCTTCAAATATCAAAAAACTGTATCATTTATGTCTTAAATTACTTTACTATAAGCACACATTTTGGTGGTCAGTTTTCAAATATTTTTTTATTTTGTTCAACTGGTTATTCGAGAACAAAATCATTGTGGCGTTAAATTCAACTTATTAGACCAAGAAAAACTGTGAACAACGTAACTTGTTTTTTTTCCGAATCTAAAAAGCTTACAATTACGTTGAAAATTGTTGTTTGCATTTTTGTAACACTTGATTGTATGTTTTAAAATTAAATTGAACTTTTTTAACCTGAAATCATTTTAATTTTAAATTCGACTGAACACGTTTAGTAAAACTCAGGTGTTGATTTTTCGTGTTTTCAAATCATGTTTGGTTTGAACTGCTCGGCATTGCTGGTATTACGTTAAGAATACACATTAACAAATGGTAATAGATACAATACACGAATAGTTACTATCAGACGTTCAATCAATGATATAGTAAAAATTAGTCTTTCACCAGTACGAATAAGACTTGGTTTTTAGTTTGAAACTTGTGCTTACCATATTAGCAGTTTTCTGAAATTCCATTTCATTTTTGTCATTGTTTCTTCATTTTTTTGGAAGTTTTCTTACAGTTTGTTGGAAAAAAAAACTTTTTGTTTTTTCTCAAATTGTTTAATCCTAATTTTTGCTAGTGTTTTATCTTAAAATTAAAACAATTTAGTAAAAAAAAGTAATCATTACAAGTGGCCCTTTATCTATTTTATATCAAAAGTACCAATTGCTGTTAATCAATTGCTTAATCACTTCTTCGGGCCAGGAAGATTCTAGAACATTCGCGATTATGGGATCTCGGCGAATGGTTGACGATGACATCCACAAAGTCCTCAAGGGCCTTGATGATCGTCGGCAAAATGTTAGTATCATTTTGTTTAGATAAAGATGAGTGCAACTTAATCGAACTAATCCTCAATTAGTTTTACGTAGTGTTTTCGTTCAAAATGACTAGTAGAAGCTTTAGATTCGAATTTCGCCACCTAATGGGTTCTTTTTTGGAAATTTTGTTCAAACACATTTTCACCAAAAATTACTTTAGCGCCATTACAAACACACTTTTCACCAAAAATTACTTAAGGTATGAGAGTGAAAAAATGCTCCAAAAAATCAATAAGTGGCCAACGAAGGAATTTTTATCCAGTTTGACCTATTTTTAGATTTATTTATTTATCTGCCTCAATTGTGTCGTTTATTTTATTCCAATATTTACTAAGCTCCATATAAAACAATTCAAATGCAGTATGAAACAAATGATTGATTTCAGCCGCTGTAAAAGTTTTAAAAAACATTAATCAAAAAAGCATAAACCTTCAAAAAACGATTTAAAGCCTGTTTTTTATTTCACCAACAACAACAGCCATCAATAACAATCTATTCACTCACACATTCAAATTGTGAAAGAGTTGCAAAATGGTGGATAGTTTCTTGAATAATATAAAAAATTCAAATTTTTGTAAGTTTTGGAGCAAAGTTTTGTAGGGGCAAATGTTTGTAGGACAGTTAATTCGCGATTGTGAAGCCTGTCCTAAATAATAATCCTATAAACGTGAAAAAGTTAGTATATCCTAAATTAAAGTGCGTTTTTGACAGATATTTTTTACGGTCCCGCAATACTTCGGTCTGAGACTTTTCAGTCAATTTAAAATTGAGACATTTCTGTTAAAAAATCAAAACAACTCAGCCGGAGACATTTCAGCCAGAGACATGTCAGCCAAAATACCATTGCAGCAATATTTCTAAGCATTATCGATTACAAACGGCATTGGCAAGTAACTAACGCTTTTTTCGCTGCGTTTCAATTCGGCATGAGAAGAATTGTGCGCGAGAATCAGTGTTTGTCAATAATCTAGATTGTTTTCGGCGTCTCAAACTGAAACTGTTTGGAATGTCTCTTTTCAATTTAGATGAAATATCTGGCGTATTTTAGCTGAAAAAAAGTCAAAATAAAGTTGTCCAAAATGTCTCTGTCTGAAATGTCCGAACACGGTTTTTTAAAGTTTTTCTCTTCCTAAAATGCGTATTACTCTTTGCTTGAAATTATGCAAAAGACGTATCACCTGAGTTTTTTTATTTTGTTTAAAAGTTCGCATTCTAGTCATTGTTGAAAAAACTTGAAACATTATTTTGACTCAATTTGTTCTCTTTTTTGTACGTAATAGAGGCAGAGGGACTATAATAAGTCTAGTACCTGAAAAAAGTGTTTTTTTTTGTAGATCAACCAAAATTTAGGATCAATCAACCATTAAATAAAGAAAAGCAAAAGTAATATCAATGTTCTCTAAGATTATAGAAAAAAAGATTGTGACAGCGAATGGCTAAGGGGAGCTATAAAAGAGCAATTTACATCATAAAAACTTTTTCTCTGTAATGATGTCAACAAACAGGCCTTTCCCAAGATTCTGATTTCGCTTAATATACTGATAGATTGATTTCAACTTTAAAAAAAGGGTAAATTATTGTTTTTACTGAATAAATTCAACACAAAGCTCCTCTCTGCGAGCGAAAAAAAATTAATTTTTCTGGTTGATTTTTTAAAAATCTTTGCAGTAAAACAAAAGAAATTGGAATTTTCAACTTTGAAGATGTGAAAATATTTTTTTTCTAAAATTGATGGTTCTGATGGTCGAAGTTCCATGCTGCTGAGCTATGATATCAGAAAAATCTGCATAAATAAGATCAATCTAAGAAAATGAAAGATAAGCTATAAAGAGGTTTTTTCTCTGAAACAAAATTGGTGATTCCTGGTGAGTTTCAGAAATAGCTTTCGTATCAACTTTTTTAAAAAAATTAATTTTCTGAAAAAAACTAAGTTGCTACGATAGGATCACATTCACATCTGAGGAATCATTTTTAAAAATTTCACAATCATTTCAACCAGTTTTACAAGATTCAGCTGACTTTTTACAAAACTTTTGAAATTTCGCCCAATATGCTAAAAAAAGTTCTACAAGTGCTACAAAAGCTTAACCGATTTTTCTGGATGAAAAATGACATTAAGATCATTTTTTAAATCAAAATCATAATCTTGAAATTTTATAAAATTTACTACACTAAAACACTAAAACTATAAATTTTTGAAAAAGGGTTTTAAAGATGTCAGTTTTTTGAAGAAAAAAAAACGTCAAAAAAATTTTTTTAGGGAAATTTACATTCAAAATTGAGTTTCTGCAGTTTTTCAAAGAAGGACAAAAAAATTGGTCTTATAGCAGTTTTCATGCAATAAAAACCGCTCAAACTTTTTAGGTTAACAGCACTCTAAATTTCTTCTTGAAAATAGCTTTTCCGCAGAAATCAAAAATGGACTGGAAAAGCCGATAGTGCATATTCCGTTTGTTTATTTTGCAAAACAAATTTCTCGACTTGCCCACGAGGAGCCGGAAATGAAAAACTTGTTCGTCTTGTTGAATCTAAAAAAGTTGTTGGAACAATTTTTCTGATCAGAGCTTCCTGATTACCCATAAAACACTTCTTTAAACATAATCAATAAAATAATTGACGTTTGCTTGCAATATCTAAATTATGACAGAAAACCCGAAACGCCAACAATTTAGTAAACACGAACAAAGATTACACACTGCAGATACAGATTTCACTATCTGTATCTACAGATTTCACGAAAACTGCATCTGCAGGGCAGAATCTGTATTTAGCCTCACCAAATTGCACTTGAAGTGACCCATCATCATTTAAAGCCGTGTTTTTATTGCGTTCCAGTTCCTGGGCCAGTTCGAGATCTACAAAGATGCGGCTGGCAGACGGGCCAAGTTGCTGCAAGACTCCATGCAGTTCCAGGAGTTCAAGAGGGATGCGGCGGAGCTGAGGGCGTGGATGCAGGAGAAGCTAGACGTCCTGAATGACACATCCAATATAGAACCAGCTAATGTGGAGGTAGGCCGGAGTTCAGAACAATTTAATTAGCGATAATTTTGAATATTAATCATAGAGTCCATGCAAAAATCGATTATCAATGACGGCAGTCATGGTACATGAGGTTATTAAATATATAAAATATGTAGCCTACTTTTAGTATCATACACATTTTTATCAGCGCACGAAAAGTGTGTGATATTAAAAAAATTATCTTGAAGTCTAGATTTGCGAATTTTGTAAACTTTGAATGCCATCATTTTGTCATGATTTTTTGTGAAAGAAGCTATGGTTGCTAATAATCGCAAAATAAAAAATGAAAAAAGATCACTTCTTGAATAATAATTTATTAACCGACCAAACCACATTTAAAAAAACAATGTTTTGAAATGATGGTTCTACAGAACACAAAATGCATTGTATTGGACTGGTTTTCCATTGAGTTCAACGTCTACTTTTGCACTGGACACCACTACCAAAGTTGATATTTTTATCTATTTTGTATCCAGGGTAAGTCACAGAAGGCAGAGGCACTGAAGGCGGAGTTGGAGGCCACCCGGAAGACCCTGGATGCTCTGAATAAGACTGGAGAAAACATGCAGAACAAGGGCCACTTCGCTGCCGACAGCGTCCAGGTACCTCTTCTACAACTTCATGAAAATTTCCATGAGAACTTTGTAAAGCTGAATTCTTGTTAGAGGTTTGGCGCTATATGTGTTTTCATAAATGATGAACATGGATCTTTTAACCCGGTAGCGGGCTGTAAGACCAGTTATCAACAAAGGAAGGAAAAACATGCCAGCTGCTCGGCTCTTAACGGCGAAACTTTATTGTGTAACCGGTTAAGTAGGACTTAGTGGAAAACTAAAAACTCTGGTTGAAAGTTATAACATGAGATCAATTGACATGAAAGTTTTCGAAGTTTCACTATTTCTGAAATGGTTTCTAGAAAAAACCGGAAGTTCTATGAGTGCCGACCGTCTTCCCTTTTTCATGAATTACCAACTGATAGAAAAATCGGTCTCTTTTGACCTCTCTGTTTTCTTCTAGAATATTCTGGAAGATTTGAATCGACTCTACTTTGAACTGATGCGCAAAATGAAAGGCAGAGACGAAATTCTGAAGGACACCAAAAACCTATCAGGTAGTCTAAACCAAAAAAAACCAGAAGAAATCTCCATATTGATTGTCATCGCGGGCGGATCTAGAATTTTTTCGATTGGGGCTGGGCTTTTAAGAAGATTCGAGCTCTCCAAAAACACTATAAACGCCAAAAATATATATATTTAGCATAAAATATGTAAGCATTAGCCGCCAAAGCCCCTCAGAAAAATTTGGGTTGGGTTGACAAATTTGAAGGTCGTAACTTACTAGCAACCTTATCATTATAGGGAAATTAATTAGCTTACCTAAATCGGCTACGCCATAGTTCTTTCCCGGATCAGTATACTTATTCACTTGGGAGAGCGAGTGATCACCATATATTTTTATATTCCTTGTAGACTTCTACACGATGTGTGATGAGATCATGGTGTGGGTGAACGAGAAAGAGGGACTGGTGAAGACTATCATGGAGGAGATAGCAGCCAATCCCTACAAAGTCAGCATCCTAGACAAGAAACACAACGACTTCGAGAAGGTGCAGTTTTTTACTATTTTTATCCTAGACTTCTTTTTTCCTTTTTAGCCGTTGTAATTTTTTTACTTGAAACTTTGTTTTGACAATTTTATGTAGAAATATCAAAGTACATTGGTTAAATTCAATTTCAAACTGCTATTTAACAGGCTATTCCGAATCTAAAATCAACCGGTTAGAGCTATGGTGCATTTTTTTCATATGGCAAAAACACAAATGGTTTGCGAATTGTAGATAGGGCCCATCCGCCCATCATTTAAATCCATGAACTAGATCCACGAGTGACATCCGTAGGTTAATTGACTAAGCTTAACAAAGCTATGACATGCTTGCTTGAGCTCAAATTGCAAATTGTACTGCTTGTTAGAATTTCAAAAGGGTAATTATTTGGCGGCTAGCAAGCTTCAAGTAAGGCATTCAAGTAAGGCTGAAGGAAGTCTTTTTAGTCAAACAAGGCCAATATACTGTTTCAAAGCACTCTCGACTAAGATTCAAACCATGAAAAATCACGCAAAGTCATGCAAAAATATTAGATGCAGGGGAAGACTTGTCATAAAAAATTTCATCAAAAAACATATGAGTAAAAATTTCTGCGTGTACTTGCAAGCTGCTATTCTGTTCAAAGTTGTATTTCATGACACTAAGAAATTTTTTGAGACTTTTCCAGTCGAACTCAAGCTGAGTCTTAAAGGTTTTCAATGTGGTATATCTATCAAAAAAGCAAGAAAGTTAGTTTTGGTTCCTTAACTTGGGCGGGAAAAATACATCGTTTCGTCTCACGTTTTTGAAAGTTTCTACCTTTTAAATCACAGCTGAAGTTGTTTAAAGTTAAACAACAATTTATACAGAGACAGTTGAATGCCGGCAAAACTTTAAGAAACTGGGAATATATTAGGAGATTAATAATAAGGTATGAGAATGAGAGTTGCTTGCCTAAAAAACAAAAACCATAATAAAATTTTTCCATAATGTTTTTTTTGTGAGATAAAATTACGATCAACAGAGCTGTGACTTGAAACCGAAGCCAGCCCCTCATCAAAGTTCTCTGAAAAATAATATGCTTGCAAATTTGGGTGAAAAAACAACAACAACCTAAGCCATTATAATCCATCCTACCTAAACAACTTATCCAACCTAAACAACTTAATCCATCCTGCTTCCCACTTGTGGGGTGATCGGAATAATAATCCCACATACAAACTAATATACTTATGCTAAAATATTAGCACAAGTATGTACTCTCATAATCATACATTTACTTATAAAAAAAAACAATTGAGACCCAACAAGCCATCTTAGTTATCATGGCCCTAGACTCCATCAGTGGTTTAGAGAAGAGATGAAATCTAAATTGGCTTCGCATTTTAATTGATTATGATGTTCTATCTACGGTCAAATTCCGGAATCAGTTTGAATACTGATTTTATAAACTTCCGCCGGAACTTGTTGAGCGTTGGTTGGGCTGCTTGTCCAGCAATCACACGATTGTTGGTTCGAAAATTGATCGTCGTGCATCAAGTTGCCATATAAGCTCAGTAAGTTTAGCTGAAGCTCAGGTTGGTTAAATTAATTAAGCTTCTGCGATTTAAAAGGTTTTTTTTGTGATTTTAGGAGCTTCTGAATCACCAGCCTGAAATAGACGACATGCATTTACGAGCCGAATTCCTTGTGCAGAAAATGCCTGTGGAAAAGGACGAAGTCGAATCACGAAGAGGCGAAGTAGTTCACGGCATGCAAAAACTACGCAACTTATCAATCGAGGCCAAAAAGAAGATCGAAAGTGCCAGACAGATCCAGAACTTTCTGAAAGATTCGGACGAGATGGTTGACTTTCTGAAGGAGAAAAAGGCTCAGACACCTCTGGATAATTTCGGAGATGAATTGGAGGAGACCAAAGCGCTGATGAGACGACATCAGAATGTGGAGAGGGATCTAGTCGCCATCAGCGGAGGGGTTGGTTCCCGTTTTATGCAGTTATTTAAAGTATGTTTTCGTTTTATGTAATCATCTTTTTCTGCATCAATGATAAAATTTTGGCAATGGACTTTCGGCGAAATCTAAAACCAAATTCTAAGATACAATTTGCGTATTTGACGTCGAACTGTTATGATTTTTTTTTATCGCCTGATAAGGGTTCAAAAATCTAATAAACCACAACAACTATTTCGTGAGCGATTGAAGTGACCAAGGTCATGGTTATTGCCAGAAACTCTTTTTAAAATTGCGTAACTTTTTGTCATAGTTGGGAAAAAGTTCGATCGTTTTACAGTTCAATTGATAACTCGAGTTGCTTATTTGATTGAGTTAAAATTCATATTTCAAAAGCACTTCTGTGAGATATCTTCAGTTCTAAGCTTGAAATTTTCCTGGAAAAATTACCTCTTTAGGACTCTGTTCGAAAAAAAGTTAATGTTATTCTCGCTTGCATTTTTGAGCCTCCAAATTATTTGACAATGAAATCAGAAAGTAATTGAGAAGAAAAAATGAAGATTATTGAAAACAATCTTTGTTCAGGTGAACGAACTGTGTCACACAGCCGATGTGTTGTCATCCGAACAGCCCAACTTCGAGTCGGAAATCCTGATTCGGAAGGCCAAAATAGAAGATCAGTGGGACACCCTCAGAGACACTTCCGGTCTGCTTGTTTCTTCATTCCACCCACAAACTCACAACTCTCGGGTTTTTTAAGCAAAATCAAACCTTAAAAATTTGCCACTAAATAAGGTAGCAAAACATAGTTTGAGATAACATAATTTGAGTAATTTAAGGTAGCGAAACATAATTTTTTCGTCAACCAAAATGATTTTGTGAGCTTTCTTACAACTCTACAACAATTCTCTCGTCACTTTTTGGCACTTTTCATATTACGTCGTATCGAAGGTTTGTTCATCGCTACACTGCTAATTTGAGAAATGATCAAGCTGACGCGTTTCTTTAGACGAACGAAGACGTAAGCTGAAGCTGCAATTTGATTGGTTCACACTTCTTTTCACCCATGACTCATGCGTTGATTGGCTAAGGGACAAGACTAGAGAAGTGGAAGATGAGTCATTGCCGAGTAGTAGCCCAGAAGAAGCGCTGGAGTTATTGAACAATTTGCAAAATGTTCACGCGGTTAGTTAGTTTTATTTTAATTTTATATATTTGCGGCCCATAACGGACAACCCATTATGATTTCATGGCCCATCATTGACACTCCTTTGTGGAATTTTGGCTTATCATAGACAGTCCATTATGGAACTATGACGCATCTTAGAAAGTTTTCAATGGAAAATTGACCATCATAGACTGTGGAACAAGGATACACGAAAAGACAAAATGATATCTAATCAACCATATTTTGATATCTAATCAACCATCTAATCAACCCCTGGTTACAAAATCATTCCTAATGATAGTGAACCCCCCAGTATGTGGAAGGACTCTTTTTTGAAGATGTTGTTAATTTAGCGTGAGTTTGCGACTGAGAAGAATGAGATTGTGAAGTGTACTGATTTGGCCAATCAGATGCTGGAGGCAGATCACCCTAACAAGGATGAAATCACCAAAATGGTAGGTGAAGTTTAAAGTTAACACTACTTGGCAACAAAATATAGCTTTTTCACTATATAGCCTTCCAGCCTATAGTAACTTAAAAATGTAGCCCCGCTACAGAACGATTTTTATACTATGGGGTGGGGGCTATAATTTATGTGGGTATGAGGTAAATATAATTGGAGCAAACCAAAATTGAATGAATTTGATTAAAATTTAAATGAATTGTAGGTATTTCGTGGATGGTATTTTTTGTAGAACTCATAGTAAAGTAAAAAAGAAATACATCAATAATAAGGTGAATCACCAATCATATCGAAGCTGTTTTTTGTATGGAGCCGCAGTTGTTCCGACCACTGACAGTTGTGTTTTAGTTTTTTTGTTTTCCACGCAAAATTAGGTACAACAAACAATAATCAGACTGGGTTGAATGATAAATCATATTGAAAACTTTTCAGTCGTGATTCGAACTTTTTAAATTTTTTTAAAAAATTCCAAAATTTCGAGAAAAATTGGCTTGAAACTTTTGATTTTTCTGCTATTTTCGAGCGAGTAAAGCGATCGAATAATGTTCGTTATGTAAAAAAATTAGCAATTTAGGTTAAAAATTAATATTTTTATTGAGAGAAAAAATTGTTGTGGATGCTTTATAGACCGCTTCATTGGGAAAAAATTGTTTGAAAAAAAAACTAAATTTTCAGTGGAAAAAATTGAATTAAAGAATCCAAAAACTTCTTGAAAAAATTTTTCAATATTTTTGTTTCTTTTTTTTTGAAGAGTTTGCGCGTGCATTGAGAAAAACTAGAAAAAAATTTTACTTGTATTTTTATAGACAAGAAATAAAAAATGATTTCATAGAAATCACTCGACAGGCAGCAATGCCGTTTGCTTTTATCTCGAGTGAATCAGTGTTAATGCATTCAGAAAAGTATTATTTGTACTTGACACTTTAAGACGATTTTTAATGATCATTAATTTCATGAATGTCCCATAACTTGTTCCCATTGCTTAATGTATATTAGTTGAATGAGCGTTAAAAAATTGTTTTTTTTAGCGTGACATGTTGATCTCTATGTGTGATTCCCTGGAGCAGTTTCTGACAGAGAGAAAAGTCAAATACCAACAGTGTGGGGACTATCTTCAGCTGAAGTTAGACATAGGGCAGTGCGAAGCATCTCTCAAGAAGTTCGATGTAAGTGGGTCTGGGTTCGAATCCTGTTGTCTTCGAGGTTTTGTTCAAAGTTTCTGATCTTTTTACAAGACATATGCGACAGTATTTTAAAGTCGGAACCAGGTGTTTTACTCTGATATCAAAAATTGTTTACTGTAGGTGTGATATAGAAATTCCATACCACAATAAGTTTTTTGAATCATGTAAAGCAACACAAAATAGATTTTTGAACAAAATAGTTCGAAAAAATTGGACAAGCGAAAGTAAATGTTTTCGAATCAGACGCGGATCTAGGTTTTCTCTCGGGGGGATTTTCAAAAAAATTTTGAACGTTTTGTCGACCTTTTTTTAGGTCTACCAAATTGGTTTTCTGAGCTCTCCCAAATCATTGGAAAGACCCTGTTTTGGCCAAATTTTCTGCGGTTTTTTCTTTTAGAAAGTTTTTAGGGTCAGAAAAGTTTTAGGGCCAGACAGCCAAAAATAGATATCTCAAATCAGTACAAAGGGGGAGCCTTTGGGTCAGCAAGGGGTCGATTCCCCACCTCCTTCCTAAATCCGCTGGTGTTTCAAATTGATTAATTCTAAACAATTTGCAAAGGTCTAGATTTATCGTTCGTTTCATGTTTTCATTTGAAGTTTGTGAGTTATGAATTTTTCTTATCACATAAATGTTGTGACTCCCATCCTGTGAGCGTCGTTGAAACGCGCTTTCGCTAAGATGTTTTTTTGTTCGAAAACTTTCTCATTTGGTTTTTTTGAGGACGAGAGAGAGAGTTTTTTATTTTGCCAAATTTGGCCTAAATTAGTGAGCGTGCAGCAATTTTGTATTCAAAAGCAAAGTGCAATGAGTTCGAATGAAACTAATTCAGTTTTTATTAGGAATATTTATCATTTATCTTCACGGGAAAAGACCATCGTATAAGCTGCGCAGCTTATCAAGGAGAACTGTTGTTCTGACCCTGCTTAGTAAATACCTGCAATTTTTTGTTAGTTTTCTTGGCTGGTAATGTTGCCTCATCCTCAAGCAGCGAGCAAGGATGGTAATGGTAGGCCTCGAACATCCGACCTTTCTATTAAGAAGCGGAGACCTAACCACTTCACCGCCGCTCCCCTATGTTTTTAAAAGTGAATACCTTTCTATGGGCGTTTTTCAGGCGGTTATGGAGAGCGAAGACTTGGGGGACTTCGTAGATGCCACAGAGGGACTCATTCTGAAGTTGGAGTCCCACTTCCAGTCCAAATTCGCCCCTCAGAAGGAGATCGCATTCCAGCTGTGCAAAATAAGCAGCGAGATGGTTGACAGTGAACACTATGAAGCAGAAAATATCGAGCAACTGAGCAATTCAGTACGTAATAAAGGAAGTTTTGGATCGCTTTAACTATATCCCCCTTTTGCAAGGTACTCTAGTGGAAAAAATAGTTACAGAGATCAGAAATTTTAAAAACTTCTTTGTTTGAATAGCTTTATCTAAGTTTTGATCTTTTACGCTTGTCTCTTGGAATTAGTTGTGCTCTCTTGATTGAGTCCAAATACTACAAAATGTTGCCAAAATCACCTCTTTAGAAAAAAATCTGAGTTTGAGAAAATATTATTACTAGAAAGTTTGAGAACTTGAAAGTCTTGAGGTTTCATTAATTTCTAGAAAATTGTTTTGCATATTTTTTATATAAAATTCCTGAGCCTATGTTTTGATTTATTTGACTCCTAAATTAATTTTTGCTTTAAACCGACAGATGTTGTCAGAATTTATTTTTGATTTTGTTTTCTTCAATAATTTCAATTACGCGTTTTAAAATAATTTTAATTATTTTAAAATTGTTTTCAGTTTGAAAACATGAATCATTTGTTTTCCTTGTTGTTCTAGCTGTCGGAGTTGTGTGACCAGGTACATGCCAGATACATCTCCCTCAGGAAGAGACTGGACTTCTCCCTGCAGTTCCACCTGTTCTCCAGAGATGCAGACGAGTACCTCCGCTGGATAGCCGACAGACTACGACTCATCAAAAACGACCAGGTAAATGTCATCATGTGCATTTTGTATCGACTTCGGTCGACCAAAACTTTTACTATATATGATTATGATCTTTATTATGATTATTCTGATTATGATTATGATTATTATGATTAATATGATTATTATGAGAATTATAATAATTATTATAAATTGTGCTTGTATTTAGTCGTACAAGAGCCGTGGTGACTTGACTACAAGTGTGCAATCTGTGAAGGCTATGGAGGCTGAAGTGCACATGTACGAGGAGAAGATAGAACAGGTGTGCAAATTGGGCAGAGAACTAGTAGACGATGAGGGCGCCCAGAATGACGAGTGAGTTGATGTGTTTTAGTTTTCGGACCAAGTTAACATCCTCCCCCCAAAGCCGGTTGACAGGGGGGGGGGGGATGGGGGGTGAGGATGTTAAATTGGTTCTAAGTTGGATTTTTCAGCCAATCAGAATCGAGCATTTTACATGCAGCGCTCAGCAAACTTGATGCGAATTAAATGCTGGGGTGGAAGATCTTAACTTGGTCTTGCTGAGGGGGAGAATGTTAACTTGATCCTCGTTTTCAAATTTCAACCTTAATTGATTATTTTCAAATGTTTGTTTTTTCTTTTTTTTTGTATTTGTCTTACCATTAAATATATGATCCATTTTTTGGAAATTATTTCTGGAAAAGCTACCGGTACAACTCTCGACAACAAAGCAGCAATTCGCAAAAACGACAACTCGCAAATTTTTGATTTAGTCTATAACGAGGCTTTGGCGAGTAGTGACCACTTTTTAAGCTGCACTCAATTTTAGCAGCAGTAATATTGTGCTTGTGAATCAGAGTTTCCCGAAGTTTTATTTTACGATTTTCTGAAGATAAGTTGAATTGGTTACTTGTTTTTTTTGCGAATTTTCGCTTTCCGTAGAATTTACGAGCTGCCTAGTTCGCGAGTTGTCGTATAACAGGTTTGATCAATTGCGAATAAAATGTTTGAATTGATTTTTGTGAGGTTTTACATAGTGCTCAAAATTCCCACAAAAATATTGCCACTCCTGCGCCAGCGTTTCTCATAATAACGTTGCAACTGATTACGTCTCAAATGGCATAATTCCCAAATGGCATAAAAATGAAATATTTCCCAAATGGCATAAATTTCATGCAACAGTTGCTTTGGAAAAATCGAGAACAGATTTTTCGTGAACAATGTGAGAAAAATAGTCAAATTGTCAATTCAAATGTTGATTGACATTTTATCGTGAAAAACTTGTAGAACTTTTTATCAAAAGCAAGAAGCATAAGCTTGTGGTTATTAATAAGCTTCTTGTGGTCAAATTTTTTTGGCAAACCTGTGGCTTAAATTTGTTTGGAAGCAATTAATTCCAAATCTTGTTCACATGCTTTCGTTCCTGACAAAATGTTAGAGTTAGAAATTGATAGAAAACGTTTAAATTACAATGAAAACTTGAAATTTATGCCATTTGGGAAAAGTTTCCATTTTTATGCCATTTGGGAATTATGCCATTTGGGAAGTTACCGTTGCAACTTATCATAGGAAATAATTTCCTCGATAATTATGCATAACAAGACCTCGAAAAAAGTTCTGTGAAATGTTTTAAAAAATCAACTGTTCGTCATTTTTTTAATATATTTTTTTGTTGTTTGACAAAAATGCTTATTTTTTTAACAAAGTGCTAAGCAAGCTGATTAAATTTCACTAAAATTTTAGTGGAGACACGAATATTTCCAAGAAACATTTTTTCGTGAAATAATTTTAAGAAATATTTACAATTAAAAATGATTATTCGCTGTTTTTACTTTCAATATTTTTACCACAGTTCTCTTTCATTTGCTAAAGATAAATTGAATTACGCTCTCTAATAGCAAACAACTCAATCGAGCAAAAAAGACAATCATGGCTATTGATTTCAAGGGGAAATTTTTTTTTTAAATTCCCAGCGGAATAAATAAATTATCTTTTGATCAAGTTTTCGCACATTGGTATAGTTTTATCAAACAATGTCAACTATATAAGATTCTAAAAATTCAAAGAGCTTGAAGGCGATAGTTTCTAATTTGAAACTCATAGCTTGAAGTTTCAAAAATAACATTCATTTAGTTCGATTGTTTTATTTATTATTTGGATTTTCAAAGAAAGTTACGAAATGCTTATGCTCTTTCTGTTCAGATGAAGTTTGAATTTGTAACAAGCCATTGCTTAAGGATTTTTATATTCATCTGAAAGCGAGTGATACTTTGATCTCAAAATTTGGAAGTATTTTTCAGCGGCGACAATGTTTTTGAACATAACAACGTTTCAAAAAATGCCTATTTGACCAATTTGGAATAATCAACGCACCATAATTTTTTGATGGAACAAACATAAAAAAGAAAAATCAGTTGCAAGTAAATTGCCCGATACTTTTCAATTGCTCGATAAAAATAATTTCTCCAGAAACAATTTAAGCCTTGAAAAATCTGCAAGCCGGCCAAAATGAACATTCTCGTGCATAGATCAAAATGAGAACATTTGCTCACAGATCAATCAAAAAAAAATTGAAGAAAAAATACCAACAACTGTAGACACGAATTTATGTACAATAGGCTAAGTTCTCAGAACAAACCGTTATTACCTAGATAAGAATTTCGGGGTGCATGAACAAATCATCGTATTTTCTTCTCAATTTTTGGGTCAAACTTTTGACCTGAAACTTGACGGGACAGCAAAACGGATTGAGCAACTATAAAAACAAAAACGTGCAAAAGTTTTATTAGCAAAGAAGCGTATTTATCTGTTTTTTGAGCAAAATATTGTGAATATATATTGATAAGTTAGTTAATAGAGCATCAGGAAGAGTAAACAATTTTCATTTTATGAGTTCAATTAGGATGTTCAGACTCTGCATTAGCAACGGCTTATCATCCCGGCTATAATCTTGGTTCTCTTTCAATTTCTCCAGAACTCCCAGAAGTTGTTCGCGCTCCTTGCACACACTCTTACTTTGTTCATGCTTTTCCACGATTTGTGACAAACACCAAGAAGCCGGGAACTTCACATCGGCACTTGTGGACTCGTTTTCTAAAACTTGGATGAGAGTTTCGACGCCTTTTGAATCTAGAACACTTTGAACTGATTGGTTTGGGATCTTGAAGATCAGCAACCCAAGAGTTCTCGCCGCTGCTACTTTACATTTAGGGTGTTTATGGTTCAATAAGTCTAGTAGAATTTCGACGCAGTCCTGTTTAACGGCATCTAGGGCAAACTCTTCTGATTGGTTAATAAAGTTACCCAATCCGAGACTAGCTTTACTTCTCGTCACTGCATCGCTATCAGATTCCATAATGTCGAAGTACAACACAAGGCCATCTTCGTTGTAGAACATTCTAGAAGCTTCCTGATTGGACAGTGAATTGGACAATGACGTTACAAGAAGTCTTCGGATTACGTCATCGTCTTCGGTTCGGATGGTCTGCATGACCAATGACACGCCATCGTAATCGATAAATGACGTAATACCGATATCGATTCCGCGAGTTACAGTCGCCATGATAGCAGCCGAATACTTTCGAACAGTTCGGCTGGGAGAATTCATAAGTTTCAAAATTTCGATTACGATTCCATCTTTGACTAAGTTTAGGGATGCCACTTCGTCATCGCGACATGAATCGAAAATTGATTGAATGAGAGTTTCTAATTCTTGTGAAGGTGTGAAGTCTTGGCTCAACTCACGCAGTTTCTCGACTGAACCTATTTCGGGGTCAATTTCTTCGTCTAGATCGATGTTTTTGCTCATGTTGAAAACCATTGTGGGCGATAGACACCTTAAATATATTAAGATATCACCATAAGAGATTTTTGAAGGGGGGTTTAAATTAACAACAGCCGTTTTCAGAACCATTTTATACTTGAATTGTTTACCTTTAACGGATATTATGAATAGAGGAAATCATCAGTTAATCATGAAATATAATTAAACCATGGTAACCACGCTAAACAAAAGAAGCAGCATACATTTTTTTTCTGTGGAAACTAATTTTGGTTCTCGGGGAGAAAAATGACCTATAAAGACATTTTGTTGGAATACATTCTAGAAAAACTGAAAAAAAAAACAGGGATCAAGTTAACATCTTCCCCCACAAATAGACCAAGTTAAGATCCTCCACCCCAGCGTTCATTTTAATTTGAATCTACTTAAGCGCTGCATATAAAATGCTCTATTCTGATTGGCCAAAAATTCGAACTCAGAACCAAGTTAACATCCTCCACCCTAAACGGATTTGGGGGGGAGGATGTTAACTTGGTCCAAAAACAAAATCTATTTTCAAAGAATTATTATCGTGCAACAAGTTTTGTGTTGCTTGCACGGCAGCTGAAAGTGAACTTTTGCTGACATATAGGATATTCATAAGAAATTAAATCAATCAACAAAAAAATATACAGATTTACTGTCTCCAAAACTTACGCCTGCTGTTTTTCCTTGAGCATTCTCAACAGCCACCGAACATTTCCTCTGACGTCCAGTTTTTCCACCAGGAAGTCCTGCTCGACCAAAATAATGGTCTCAATTGTTTCCGCAAAATTAACCCCCAAAAGAAATTTTAAAACGTTTTCGTTTTCACAAGCCATGTAAACTAAACATGACACACAGTTAATGATCGTCTCCAGTGATAATTTTTCCTTAAAGACGTTCAAAAAATGAGTCATTGCTTTGAATGCCTCTTGGTCGACATAAAAAGTTCTGGACTCTGGAACTTTCGACAGAATTATATCCATAGCGCACGGTGCATTTGACCGACAATCTTTTTGGTCGAGTTGGATCATTTCAAGTAAACCTCGACACACGCCGCGGCTAAACGCCTCATATGCGGTTTCGGCTAATTCGTTCATTAGGTTAATCAACACAATTGTTGAGATTCCCCGAACTGGCGGAGCTTCTTTTGAGTTGTTTATAACAGTAACTAAAAATTTAACAGCGCCCTCAGTTACTAAAACACTTTTAGCGCTCGAGTTTGTACTAATGTTCGCCAAGATAGCAACATACCACTTTCGACAAACGTTGTCAGCTTCAGAACTGAACCAAAAGTTTAGAATTTTGGGTATAATTCCTAATTCTGTCAACAAAATTTTCCCATTTTCTAGACCACAAGTAACGTTAACTAAAACGCCCAAACAGCGCTGCTTCAAATCGGTTTGTAAGTTTTCGTTTTCGAGAAGTTTCAAAATCAAATGAATGACATTTTGGTTCATTAAGGCCTCGCTCAATGTGATATTTCGTTTTGTTTTGTTGTCGATTTCTCGAAGAATTTTGCGGAGTTCGTCGGAGCTTCCATCATTGGTGCAAATTATGAATTTGTCGACTAAAGCAGAAGCTAATTTTTCGGAAGTAACGGCCATTGTTTTCAATGAATAAAACTGAATGAATTAATTGATTACAAAACTATTGTAGAGTACAGCATAAATTTAAAACATGTTATGATGGACTTTCGTTATACTCGTTTTTTATTCAATAGTAGCTACGTTTCTTTATTGTAATTTTCTTGCAGCATGACTTATGGTATCAAAAATACGCATTTTTTCTCTTAAAGTGGCTTACAAAAAGACTTTTCAATCGGATGGTCGAGAGTAGAAAAAAAAAACACTTCTACGTTCAATCTGCAGTATCAAGTATGGCTTGATGTTTTTACAGTTTCACAGTGAAAAGCCTGATCCAAATACTAATTACTTAAGCTGTGAAGTACCTGCAAGCACTCATTTTACAAATTGTAGCGCACGTGCAATTATCAAACAAACAACCATCAAAGCAATTGTCACGGCTGGGCTCTTGGTTCTTTTCCACCAGCATCCCACCATAATAAAGTTTTAATTTTTAAAAAAAAAAACAACTTGTACGTTGTGATAAACTAAGGAAAATTTGCATACCCGTACTGTAGTTCCATAAATATTATTCGATTATATTAGATTTCAATATTAAAAAAATTGATTATAATCGATTAAAAATGTTAACAATGGATTATAATTTAGTATTTGTCAAATCTAAACAAGCCAATTTTATCAATTAAAATCAATTATTGTTCCGACTTTCGATACTAAAGTAACGGAATATTTGTGCTCGGGGTGGGTTTTTTTTTTCTTCAGACAAATTTCGACTTTTTAACTAGCCATTTTTGACGGAATTTTTTTTATATCATTCAAAAGGTATTGTTGTCCTGAGCTCAAATTTGAAAAGATATTTTACCTGTGATCATTTTCCGTAAGGTTATGGGGGTTTAAAGATTGCCATTTTGGCCAATTTGGGACAATTAACGCGCGATATATTTCGCGCTATTAACGCGTAAGCGGAGATTTGGTGGCAGGACAATCTACCCTATTCCAAACTACCCTATACCATTCTACCCTATGCCATTTTACCCTACATACCAATCTACCCTATACCAATCTGCAGGTGGGGGGGGGGGAAAGGAAAAAGAGCCGGTGGAGTTAACTGGTGGGGGGGGGGGGGCTTAGGGGTTAAACTAGGGGTGGCGGTAAAATGGGGGTTAAACTGGGGGGGGGGGGGGGGGGTTGGTGGGGTTTAACTGAAACTGAAGGGGGTTAACTGTGTGGGGATGGGGGTGGGGGTGGTGTTGGGGGGTTTGGGAACTGTGTTGCAGGAAGGGTGAATTTGTACGGAAAAAAATTACACAAACATGGCAATACAAATTCTAGTAGGCTATAAGTATAGCAGAATTTTTTTTGAAAATCTTGCAAATATTTTTGCAAAAAGATTATACAGATAATAAATTTATAATTATAATTTGTAACAATTATAGATTATAATAAGTTATAATTCACTATAAAGGGTTTTATTGGATTGAGTTTTTATGGAAATGATCTGTTTTAATGACAATATAACATTTTCATGGTCTAAGTTTGCAACAATAATGAATTGTAAGGACATTTTGGACAAAATTTTCCTATTGTTATCGATTTTTATCCATGAAATTCTGAAGCGGGTGGCAAGCAAACTAACTATTATGAGCTCATTTGTTTTTCATATCTTATATCACAAGATGAAGCGTTCAGCCATAATAATAATACGTAAGATAACAAAAACAACTCGCAAAAATTGAAACGTTGGGGGGTGGTGGAAAAAGGCCAAAACTTGTTCGACCCCACCTCCACCCCACATTTTTAATTTTAAACTTCCATAGCTTTGTAATGTGTTTTTGCGGCGCAATGCGCAATATTAAGTATGATGAAGATGCAAAGCATGAACAATATTCCAATTCACATAATAATTTTAGCTTGCTGAGTATCAAAATTTTAAGAGGACAAAAAATTCAAAAACTAACAAATGAAACATAATAATTTATCTGGAGAAAAAATGCTCCAAAAACAAATGTTCCCTCACTGTCTCAGAACAAAAACTATAAAATTTTATGCATTTTTATGAATGTTAGACTTCGAGTTATAGAAAGCACTAAAATGTGTAGTAATCAAATATTGTATAATCAAATATAATTGTTGTTTTTAACCCACCTTTTGTTTCTCCGGGTTGGTTTTGTTTCTCCAAACAAATTCAACCTTTTAACTAACCCTTCTTGGCGAAATATTTCTATCGTTCGAAAGATATTGTTGTCTTGAGCTCAAAAAGATATTTAATCTCAAACCATTTTCCGTAGAGTTATGGTGTTGTGAAGATTGCCACTATGACCAACTTGGGATAACAAACTTGGTCGACATAAAAAGTTCTGGACTCTGGAACTTTCGACAGAATTATATCCATAGCGCACGGTGCATTTGACCGACAATCTTTTTGGTCGAGTTGGATCATTTCAAGTAAACCTCGACACACGCCGCGGCTAAACGCCTCATATGCGGTTTCGGCTAATTCGTTCATTAGGTTAATCAACACAATTGTTGAGATTCCCCGAACTGGCGGAGCTTCTTTTGAGTTGTTTATAACAGTAACTAAAAATTTAACAGCGCCCTCAGTTACTAAAACACTTTTAGCGCTCGAGTTTGTACTAATGTTCGCCAAGATAGCAACATACCACTTTCGACAAACGTTGTCAGCTTCAGAACTGAACCAAAAGTTTAGAATTTTGGGTATAATTCCTAATTCTGTCAACAAAATTTTCCCATTTTCTAGACCACAAGTAACGTTAACTAAAACGCCCAAACAGCGCTGCTTCAAATCGGTTTGTAAGTTTTCGTTTTCGAGAAGTTTCAAAATCAAATGAATGACATTTTGGTTCATTAAGGCCTCGCTCAATGTGATATTTCGTTTTGTTTTGTTGTCGATTTCTCGAAGAATTTTGCGCAGTTCGTCGGAGCTTCCATCATTGGTGCAAATTATGAATTTGTCGACTAAAGCAGAAGCTAATTTTTCGGAAGTAACGGCCATTGTTTTCAATGAATAAAACTGAATGAATTAATTGATTACAAAACTATTGTAGAGTACAGCATAAATTTAAAACATGTTATGATGGACTTTCGTTATACTCGTTTTTTATTCAATAGTAGCTACGTTTCTTTATTGTAATTTTCTTGCAGCATGACTTATGGTATCAAAAATACGCATTTTTTCTCTTAAAGTGGCTTACAAAAAGACTTTTCAATCGGATGGTCGAGAGTAGAAAAAAAAACACTTCTACGTTCAATCTGCAGTATCAAGTATGGCTTGATGTTTTTACAGTTTCACAGTGAAAAGCCTGATCCAAATACTAATTACTTAAGCTGTGAAGTACCTGCAAGCACTCATTTTACAAATTGTAGCGCACGTGCAATTATCAAACAAACAACCATCAAAGCAATTGTCACGGCTGGGCTCTTGGTTCTTTTCCACCAGCATCCCACCATAATAAAGTTTTAATTTTTAAAAAAAAAAACAACTTGTACGTTGTGATAAACTAAGGAAAATTTGCATACCCGTACTGTAGTTCCATAAATATTATTCGATTATATTAGATTTCAATATTAAAAAAATTGATTATAATCGATTAAAAATGTTAACAATGGATTATAATTTAGTATTTGTCAAATCTAAACAAGCCAAATTTATCAATTAAAATCAATTATTGTTCCGACTTTCGATACTAAAGTAACGGAATATTTGTGCTCGGGGTGGGTTTTTTTTTTCTTCAGACAAATTTCGACTTTTTAACTAGCCATTTTTGACGGAATTTTTTTTATATCATTCAAAAGGTATTGTTGTCCTGAGCTCAAATTTGAAAAGATATTTTACCTGTGATCATTTTCCGTAAGGTTATGGGGGTTTAAAGATTGCCATTTTGGCCAATTTGGGACAATTAACGCGCGATATATTTCGCGCTATTAACGCGTAAGCGGAGATTTGGTGGCAGGACAATCTACCCTATTCCAAACTACCCTATACCATTCTACCCTATGCCATTTTACCCTACATACCAATCTACCCTATACCAATCTACCCTATAATAATCTACCCTATACTAATCTGCCCTATATACCATAATGAGGTATCATAATTTAATCTTTCAAAGTCCTAATTAGAATCGGAAAGATACAGCACGTGTTAATTCATTTGAGTCTAAATTTTTGGACTCAATTTGAGTCTTTCACTTAAGGAAATTGTTCTAAAGACTAAATCGCAATTCGAGTCTCAAAATTTGAAATTTATTTCAATTAACAAGTTTTAATCCCCAATTTTCAAAATCACGTACAAGAATGAAACCAAAACTACGTCATTATATCAATTTTCTTTGGAATAACATCTACTAAAATGAGTCAAATTTCTTGGGGTTTATCCCAACAGAATCGGCGAACGCTTGTAATCGGTGGCCACGAGTTTACGAAAAAACAGGAAACAAAGAATGGAAACATTCACTGGAAGTGTTCAAGATGGGGGTCCCATAAATGCAAAACGACAGCAATAACCAGAGAAAACGATCTTATTTCCTGTAGAAATGAGCACACGCACGCAACATTGGATTAAAATTTCTGTTCGTTCATGCTTTGAACTCATTTCCATTTTGAACGCGCAAGTTTTACGTTGCTTTGATATTTTGTTCACGTGCGTCAATTGTTCTTTGATCATAATTAATGGTTCTTTGATTTGTTCGGAAATATACTGTTTCGGATTCTTCAAGAGGATGGGGTAAGTTTCAATTGCTTTAATTATAGGGTAGAATGGTATAGGGTAGATTGGTATAGGGTAGATTGGTATGTAGGATAGAATAGTATAGGGTAGATTAGCATAGGGTAGATTGGAATAGGGTAGAATGTCATGGAACCGGAGATTTAATCCGTCTTAGAAATCGTTCCAAATTGGTTGAACGGAGCTAATTCGCCATAATTGATTTGTTACAAGGAGCGAAATCTATTCTTTTGTACTTTATATGGCGCGTGGGGGGATGATTTTCATTAAAAAATTTCAAAATTTTGAATTTTTTTTTCATTTTATTTTATTTCATTTAATTTTTTATGTTATTACTGCTGCTCCATAAACCTTAAAGGGCAGTCGGAACATTCAGGGCTTCTTCCTGATACGAGCAGTCTTGTTATAGATTATAACCAATTATAAAGGATAATAATACAATTTTTTGATTCTCGTCTTTGGTGATCTTTACTTTCTCTCCCGAATCCAATTTACCTCCTTTTGTCTTCATAGGGGGGGGGGGGGGGGGAGGGGGTAAAAACTGGGGGAGGTGGAGTGGCTCTTTTTCCTCCCCCCCCCCACCTCACACGAGCTTCAATATATTAGTGTAACGAGTGGTTTTACGAGGTTGAGTGTGAAGACCAAATATTTTTGTCGTGGCCTTATTAGTCTGTATGTAAATTTTCATAACAATCGAACAATGTGGTCAACAAATTTACATGAAAAAATTTGCAGGTGGGGGGGGGAAAGGAAAAAGAGCCGGTGGAGTTAACTGGTGGGGGGGGCTTAGGGGTTAAACTAGGGGTGGCGGTAAAATGGGGGTTAAACTGGGGGGGGGGGGGGGGGTTGGTGGGGTTTAACTGAAACTGAAGGGGGTTAACTGTGTGGGGATGGGGGTGGGGGTGGTGTTGGGGGTTTGGGAACTGTGTTGCAGGAAGGGTGAATTTGTACGGAAAAAAATTACACAAACATGGCAATACAAATTCTAGTAGGCTATAAGTATAGCAGAATTTTTTTTGAAAATCTTGCAAATATTTTTGCAAAAAGATTATACAGATAATAAATTTATAATTATAATTTGTAACAATTATAGATTATAATAAGTTATAATTCACTATAAAGGGTTTTATTGGATTGAGTTTTTATGGAAATGATCTGTTTTAATGACAATATAACATTTTCATGGTCTAAGTTTGCAACAATAATGAATTGTAAGGACATTTTGGACAAAATTTTCCTATTGTTATCGATTTTTATCCATGAAATTCTGAAGCGGGTGGCAAGCAAACTAACTATTATGAGCTCATTTGTTTTTCATATCTTATATCACAAGATGAAGCGTTCAGCCATAATAATAATACGTAAGATAACAAAAACAACTCGCAAAAATTGAAACGTTGGGGGGTGGTGGAAAAAGGCCAAAACTTGTTCGACCCCACCTCCACCCCACATTTTTAATTTTAAACTTCCATAGCTTTGTAATGTGTTTTTGCGGCGCAATGCGCAATATTAAGTATGATGAAGATGCAAAGCATGAACAATATTCCAATTCACATAATAATTTTAGCTTGCTGAGTATCAAAATTTTAAGAGGACAAAAAATTCAAAAACTAACAAATGAAACATAATAATTTATCTGGAGAAAAAATGCTCCAAAAACAAATGTTCCCTCACTGTCTCAGAACAAAAACTATAAAATTTTATGCATTTTTATGAATGTTAGACTTCGAGTTATAGAAAGCACTAAAATGTGTAGTAATCAAATATTGTATAATCAAATATAATTGTTGTTTTTAACCCACCTTTTGTTTCTCCGGGTTGGTTTTGTTTCTCCAAACAAATTCAACCTTTTAACTAACCCTTCTTGGCGAAATATTTCTATCGTTCGAAAGATATTGTTGTCTTGAGCTCAAAAAGATATTTAATCTCAAACCATTTTCCGTAGAGTTATGGTGTTGTGAAGATTGCCACTATGACCAACTTGGGATAATAAACGTGGCAAATTTTTCTCGCTAATAACTCGTAAGCGGAGATTCAAACCATGTTAGAAATCGTTTCAACGTTCCGAAAAAATTTTGAGGCATGCTTTTTGATCGATTTAAAACTGTGATATATGCAAAGTTTTATGCGACACTTTCTAGTTTTCAGAGTATGTGGTGGCTGCTTTTCAACAAAAATTCTTGAAATTTCTTAAAATTATTTTTCTTTTTTTGACATTTTCATCCTTTCTTCTAAACCAAACACTACTCCATGCACTTTAAAAAACAGTTGGAACATTCAGGGCTTCACTTGATACGAGCAGTTTTGTTGTTTCAACTTTCGAAGAAAGTGACGAAATGGTTGTACTCGCGGTGGTTTGTTTTCTCCGTGCAACTTTCGACATTTTAACTGGCGAATTCTGACGGAATTTCGTTTATCAACCGAAAAGTATTGTTGTCCTAACCAAATGTATTTCTCCGAGAGTCTGGATCAAAATGTTGTTTTGTAAATAAAGAAAATTCTAAGCCATAAAGACAAATACGGACCAATTTTAAAATCTCTCACCCGCACTTTATTTATCTATAGCAAATTCTCCCCACTAGCCATGTATTCACTTTGAAAATGATTTTGAACAAGTTGTGCATTTTGAGCAAAAATGCAAACTAATTGGACGAAATAAAATGACATAGAAATGCAATGGCTTATCAGTTGATCACCTAAATTAAAATATTCAAAAGATTTTATCTCGTAAAACTGTGCAATGAATCGGTTCAGCCTGTATACTTGAGGTTAGTTGTAGAAATATTGCATTTTGATGACCCTAATTGGTTTTTGGGGGAAAATAAGCAATTCATTCAAAAATAATTACACAAGAAGTTTGTTTTTTGACCCCTGCGGTCTGTTTTTTTTCAAATTTCATTTTCAACGCTTCATTATGAGCCTTGCTGCAAAAGTGATTACTTTGTTTCGAACATTAAAATTCTCGTTGTCATCCTTTTGTTTGTATTTTAGCATGTTAAAAACTGAACATGAGAGGTAAAAATTCTAATTTCTGTCACAAAAATCTAATTGATTTCTTTTGCCAGATTTTCTTCCTGCTATAACCTGACTTCCCAGAAGCCGATTCTGGAACATTCTGCTTGATACTAAAATGCAATTTATCTATGCAATTGTTTACATTTATGAAGTGAAATCAATCCGAAAGGCTTACCTTTAATATTATTTTCAGCAAAAAGGCAACCTGCAGCTATGTTTTTCATATGCACGAAACTTTAAGCCAGCTTCTGGTCTTACTAGGTTTTCCTTCTATATTTGTCTGCCTTCTTTTCAAGTCCCTGGAACAAAACAGGAACATCGGTCACCCCCAAAGCAGTATAGGGGTGGACTTTAACTTGGTACTAGGTTTGAGTACTATGAGCCAATCGTAATTAATAGTTCTTTGCAAGCAGCACTCAGAAATTTTAATTCTGTTATGAATTACTTTATGAGGTGGCCGATCTTCATTTGGTCAAAATGATAGGTTGGATGTCCATAATTTGGCCCGTAAAGAGATTTATTTTGCGAATAGCATTCCGCAATTAACAGCCCATTTTTCCAGTGTCCAGTCCAAACTGAACAGTCTTGAGGGCTACTTGCAGAAATTGAAGGATGAGATGAAGGGGAGGGAGGAGAGATTGAAGGAGGCTCTGGAAGGCCAGAGGTACTTCAGAATGGCGGAGGAGTTGGAGTTGTGGATGGCCACTACTGAGGCCAAACTGGCTGCCAGGGAACCCGGCAAGGTACGACGACTGACCATTTTAGACTTGGCAGCTGCAAGGCTTTGTAGATCCCTTATGGGTCCTATAAGATCATGCACGGATTCTATGATTGCCAGTATGGCTGTGGCTAGCGCTACGCAGAAGCGGTTTTCCGTAAAGAGATAAGCTTTTAGCACGTTAATCCTTTTGCTTGAGGATAAATTGTCGTAAATCATTTCGTGCATTTACTTAATAATTTACAAAATTAATATGTGACAGGGGCGGATCTAGGATTTTCTCGAGGGTGGGCGGAGTTTCAAAAAAAAAATCAAAAATTTTGACGATCTTTTTTTTAGGTCGACCAAATTGATTTTTCGAGCCCTCCCAAAGCACTGTTTTGCCCCTATTTTGGCTAAATTTTCTGCGCCGCAGGCAAATTTTTGAAAAAACAGTCAAAAAAGCCGTTTTTGGGCCATTTTTGAAAAATTTTGACAAAAAATTGCGTTTTTTTGGCGCGCGCTTCCCCTCAAATTTAGTAAATTTTAGGCGCCTTTAGAAAACTTTTAGGCGCCTTTAGAAAAGTTTTAGGCGCCTTTAGAAAAATTTTAGGGTCGGTCGGCCAAAAATGGATTTCTGAAAAAGTATCAAAGGGGGACCCTTTGGGTCGGCAGGGGGTCGAATCCCTGAAGGAAAAGGGAAGCGTCCGCCCCCCCTCCCCTAAATCCGCCCCTGATATGTGAACCCGTACATTTTGAAAAATAATCATATTTTCCAAGACATGAACTTAAATTAGAAAAAAAGCGGTTTTTTTAGGATATGAATTCGTGTCTGAAACTGATGAAGAAACACGAACTGTTAGAAGAGGATGTGAGACAACACAGAGACGCACTGGAGACCATGTACACTCTGAGTAAGACATTCTTCGATGCCAACCACTTCGACAGGGACACCATCAGAGCCAGACAGGACACACTCCAGAAGAGATATGTCAACCTCAAGGTCAGTCAGTCACCAAGTCACCAAGGTCAAGGGAGGCCAAAACAGTTGATCTACGTTCAAAGATAAAACAGCACTCTTTTTGATTTGCCGTCTCAAGGTCAGGGGAGGACAAAAGTTCAAATTAAGTTCAAAGACAGCACAGTATTTCGAATTCCTCAAGGTCATTCATTAAAGGTGAAGGGAAAAGTCAAATTATTAAAATATTTTACCAGGTGCTAAACTTAAACAGACTCCGTTTGCCAACGTCATGGTCACTATGTCATGAAAATGAATGAAAAGAGGTAGAAAAAAATCATTTATTAACTAGCAGATGCGAAATATCAAACTTTTCTGTTTTTTGGGTAATGTTTCTGGATAAGGTTTTCATTCTGGACAGATGCGATAGTATATTTGGTGGGTTCCATTAACGCTCGCAGTTTTGGTAGTACAATGAATGTAATTTAAGACATGAATATTCTTCTTTATTGTAATCAGGAGCCAATGAGACTACACAAAGAGTGGCAGGAGGATGCGCTGGAGCTGCACAAGTTCTACAGACAGGTGGATGACACCCAGGCATGGATGAGGGAGAGGGAGCCACTCATCGGAAACATCACAATAGGTAACTTAGATTTCTCTAGTACAGTTAAAGCTCAACATTCCGATCTTGTTACCTACGCGCCCACCCCTGTGATTTTTTATAATTTTTATCTTTTTTTTAGATTCTTGCTTGTATGTAGAACAGCCTAAATTTCATCCCAATTCTTCCTTTTTAAAACTTCAGTGCCTCATTTCAATTTCGGATTAGAAACAGTTTTTCAAAAAGTTTCGTCCCCTTCGATAGCTCTTACGAAACTTATCCGCATAAATGTTTTGTTTAATTTGGCCTATTGGGCCCTTGACAAAACTTTTCGAAATCCCTGCCAAAAAAATGATACGGGTCGAAGTGTTGAATCGAAGCTGAAGATCGAAATAACATTGCTTGCGACATAATGCTCATTGAACGTATCTATTCATGGAGCTTTTGGAACAATCAGAGCTTTTCTACTTAATCCAACACTTTTGTGGCTAATTTCGGACAATAGCAATAAGAGGGTGGAAACGAATTCATGGGAAATTTTGCCATTGTTGCGCTCCGCTGTTGATGGTGATTGCGGGTTCAAATCGCACATGCGCTGCAATTTGCAAGGTGGAGCTCTTGCAAGTGAGTCATAGCTTAATGGCGCCATTGTGAGTCATAGCCATTAACCTCCGTGTTAGGGCGCCGGCGTCTTCTCTACTATACAGTCCAAAAATCTTTTTGTTATTTTGAAAATTGCATCATGATTCTCGAATCTGCTTGGTTGAAACTACTAACAACTAATAACAGCAAAATAAAATCAAGATTTTCGTTAACAACAGAAGCTCAATGAACAATTTGGCAATTTTGGGCCGTATAACAGAAAAGACGCCACCTCTGGGCTGGTTGACTAAAAAATAGAAATAGTGTCTGTGAGTGAAAATGATCATTTATTTAGGTCGCCATTTCATTGATGCCGTGAAACTGAAGAAAAGACACAGTAAACTTCAGAATGAGATGGAGAAATACAAACCGACTCTAACTGAAGTGATGGACACAGCGGACGAACTGATGCACAATGACCACTTTGCAAAAGAAGCCATCAAGAAGGAGAAGGAAAATGTTTCGGAGAGGTGGAAGGTTCTGGAAACAGTGGCTGCGAAAAGAGAAAAAGACCTGGACAACAGCATTATGGTTTGCCCGTTTGCTATAGTCTGTACCGTCAGTAGTTCCACTAGCAGAAAAACTTATTTTAATTAGTTTATTAATAATTAATAATAATTAATGATAATAAAACGTTCTCAAGGACGCGGTTTGTTACACTGATAATTTAGTTCATTTCATCATTTACCGATCACCGAACTTAAACGCACGCTGAAGGCTTTATAGCCTGTTATAAAGCGCGCGGTATGAATAATTTGTAGAATGTGTCTACAAGGAACTATGTTTAAAAAACTCAATTAAAAAGTCTTCATCTATGAAAATAACAAAAATTATCGAAAATGTCTCGTTCCGGCATCGAAAATGTATATAACGTTTTCTTCGATGATAAACATACGCCTTGAATCTATAAAATATCCTTCTAAAATTTTCAGAAACTTTCCTACTAAATTGTTTCCCATAAGGAGAACTGCATAATTACGACAGTTCGTAAATTATTTTTTCCAAATGGTGTGTAACTATTTGCAGGCGCACGAGTACTTCCTGCAGGCGAATGAGAGTGAGAACTGGATCCGAGAGAGACAGAAGAATCTGGACAGAAAAGTGGGCTTGCAGTGGCCCAAGAACATAGACGCACTCATTGTTAGTTACTCTAAACTGTTGAATCAAACACACTTCTTACACTCTACCACAACTCAGGTCCTCAAGGCCTACAGGAGTTTTACTGCAACTATGCTGCGATGTTTTGGACTGCTCTATAATATATTTTTGAAGTTTTGCAATGATTGATCAAGGACTTATTTTTGATGAGAAAAATTCCCTTAATAGAGAATTGGCCGACTTAAAAAATGGATAAGTACAAAAATTATGAAATACTTCCGTTCCTCAGTAAAAAGAAAACATTCTTTTTAGTCTGAGAGTAAACGAACCGAGAAACTCATCGACGAAGTCGAACATTACAAACCAAACATCGAAGAGTTACACAACAAGGCACAGCAGTGTGATGCAACACAGGATGACGTCACAGACTCCATTGACCAGACTCTTGACGAGGTTGCGGAGGTGCATGTGAGGAGGGCGATTGTAGTTATTCCTTACCAGACGGATGCGCCGAGACATCTGTCGGTGGAATCGAGGGAATTGGTGACAATTTTGGACACTTTTCCAGATGTAAGTTAGGATCCAGTCGTGAAATCCTTCTTTAATTGTTCGTTACATTTATAATTTTTCTAATTTTAATTTAAGTTTTCAAATTTTTATGGCTTTTTATGGCTCGATTTTATATGCTGCATTTTTGCTTTAGGAAAAATGATCCAATCACAGTTCTAATTTTTCTGTGCTTTTCTCATTTATTATACAATAAGAAAATCATTTATTACTCTTATGAGGATATATAACACAACCAAAAAACCGTTATTTACAATCCTGATGACTTTTTGAAACATCCGGTGAAAATTTGAAACATTTGCAACAATCTCAAGTGAATTTTAGTTACCGTTTTAGAATCTATTCAAAGTGCAAAATGAAGAAGGCTACAGTGGCCTTGTGCCTGGAGACCACTTGAAAGAGGAAACTCCAGGAGATCGCTTGAGCAAGAGTAGTTCACGTGAGCTACTCATTGACTTGGACCGGTAAGTCAGCCAATGTCAAAATCAATTATTCACAAAGGAAAAGGACCAGCAGATGACAAAAATAGCTTTAATGGAATTCAATGTCATTAGCTATCTTTTTTGACGTTTTCTTAAAACTCTGCTGCTCCATAAAATTTATTTTGCTTTTTAATTAAGCAAAAAAAATTCATTGAAAGTCGAAAGTTGACGTTTTTTTTTTACGAAACAAGGCGATTTAGTTTCTGTTTTTATTTTGCGTTCCTTGGCTCTTTTTCAACTGTCTGTTGGCTATGTTTAACGATGATGGGCTCTAGCATATGGGACTAATCAATTCGGATAGGACCCCATTTAAAAAATCTATCTTCTGACGCATATGAGTTATGAACATGATTTTGGACTTACCTTTCTTACTTTGATGAGCATAGATCAGTGATGGACAAGCAGGCGAACATAGAGAGGATGTATGAGAGGGTGCTGGGGGAGTTGAAAATTAGGGAGAAGAAGTTGGCGGACAGGTTGAAGATGAGCAGACTGGTCAGTCAGGCCGCGTCACTCAACAACTGGCTTGGCACTAAGGCGAGTTAATAATAATCATAATAAATTCTTTTCATACCAGTGATTATTCAGCAGGCATTTGTCAATTGTCGCGGATGTACGCAAAAAGTGCCCGGAACCGCGATGACCAAAATGTGAAACAATAAGTCGAATCATATATAATTCCATCGAAACCATAAAAATTGCCGACATATAAAACCGTTAAACAGACGCATTTTCCATAATGGTTCAACAGATAATTGCATATTGTTTCCAGATTATTATTGCAAATTATGAGAAAAGCTGAATGACGCCAAAACTAGGGTCTGACGACGAGACTAGAATTTTCTCAAAAGGGGGTAACTTTCAAAAAGTTTTCGAAAACTTTGTCAAACTTTTCTTAGATCGACAAATTAAGTTTACCAACTTAGATCTCCCAACTGACCGCAAAGACCCTGTTTTGCAAAAATTTTCTGTGCTGCAGACAATCTTTTGAATAAAAAACAAAGCAAAAACTGCCATTTTTAAGCACCTTGCAAAGCGGGGAAACTCTCATTAACTCACAATTTCTTATATTTTTATCGCATGTGTGACTTCAAAACTTCAATTTTAAAATATTCTTTATTTTGGTGTTTCAATTTTTTTTTTCGAAACTTCTGATGACACTAGTTTGTTGTTCTTTTTCGCTGGAGCGAAGTTAAATTCTTATTCAAATTGTTTCTTTGTTTTAGCACGACAAGAAAGTGGTGCACGACGACCTGGTTAGCATGATTAACTACTTTTGTTTCTATAGTTTCATGGTAACTGTCAAGAAAAAAAAATTAATTGTTCAAATCGATAATTTAGGACCACGATGACGAGAACCAGATAAACAAAGCGCTGAAAAAGGCCGGAAATTTCGTCAAGGTATGTATGTGTTCATTATTATTTTTTTTATCACCTTTGAATTTGAATCCTTTGTTTCTGAAAGTGATTCAAGGTGAGTGACTAATTTTTTTCTGACGACAATAATATCGTTTAAAATCATACTAGTTTTTTTCAAGCTGGAAACTTATAACCATATCGTTGGAAATTGTACGTTTACAAATTTAGTTTGGCTTGGGATAAACCAAAAAGCATCAACCTGTCAAATGAATAGAAAAGTTACATCACTTATCGGGTTGGTTCAAAAACGCCAATCACTCAGCTTGTTTGCAATGAAATTAGCTTTACATAATTCTAGGAAAATGTGTGAAAGGTCTATGATTTGCATTATTATTTCCATATGGAGTCTTTGGTATCTTCATAAGCTGGTTTAATATTTCTCGAACCTTTTGCTGCTGTTCCTAGAAACTGGACGGGCACAAGAATTCAATCGGAACCATCGGCGAGGAGATGCTCAAGCTCGGAGCAGACGACCCCGAATTGCAATCGGAGGTGATAGAGAATGTATACCAGGTGAAAAGACTGGAGAGCACAGCTGGAGATCTGCTGGACAAGTTCGCCAGCGAGACTGCTAATTTGGAGAACGCACATGAAGTCAAACAGTATTTGAGGTTAGATCAGTCATCTTCTGAAGCTGGCTTTAATACTATCAAAGTTTTTGCAATGGTTACAACAAGTTGTGTTTGACGCCATGGAAGTTTTTTAATTGTTGCAACAACTTGTGTTTAATGTTATATGGAATTTTTTTTTACAGGTTACCTCAATTTGCAATTGTTTTCATGAAAAACTACCTTGAAATAAAAAATAAAACATTTTGCCCGAGTATAGTTTATTGTTTGAAAATTTCATGAATTTCATGAAATTCATGTAGTTGTTTCACTTGAAATTTATCTTTTCAGTTGAAATTTATCGTTTATAACTTTGTAAATATAAATTAAGAATCATAAATGATATAACTTTAACTTTCTGCTCTTATTTTTCAGAGACTGTGACGAGTTGATTGAGAGAGTGACTGACAAAGACAACTCTCTAGTGGCTGGCTACTTTGGCAGTGACTCCAATGGGAACAGCATTCTGGCCAAGAAACACGCCGCATTCCAGAACGACATCAACTCATTTGTGGAAGCTGCCAAAGAACTGGAGAGCAAATCTGGTTAGTGTATGATCGACGCTGCTCTTATACAGTTTTGATTTGCAGCTAAAGCCAAAATTTTCCTTTCATTCCAAAGTATGCATTCCCTGAAGACTCAAAAAACGGCAAAACTATAAAAATGAATCTAAAAATAATTCAGTTTTTTGTTTTTTAAAACCCGGCTGTTTTCGAAATCTCCTCAACCACTTGCAGAATAACCGGCAACTGTTGTTTATAAATTAAGTTACTTAAATAAAGTCAGCGGCGGATTTAGGGTGCACGCGTTTTCCTATGTTAATTTTGAAGGGTAGCGCGCGCCGAAAAAAAATAGTGACTATGAGATCAAAAGTTTCCAAAAATTGTCCAAAAACGGCCTTTTTAACCTGTTTTTTTTTAAAAATAAGGTCGAAAATGTTTCGAAAAATTTTGAAAATCCACCCCCCGTCGAGAAAATCTTAGATCCAACTCTGGTTAAGATACTTCCGAAGGCTCGGAAACAAAATTCTAGTACTTGTCTGACTTATTCAACTCATCATGATACTTCACTAATTTTTATTGCATAGGTATAAACAGTCTCTTGATTACTTTGATTTTTTCGACTGTAGGATATCTGTCCAACATCCACCCCGAGAGTAGGCCAGACATAGACAAGAAGTTGGACGAGATAGCGGAGAAGATCAACTCTCTGCAGAACAAAGCGGACGACCACGAGAGGCGGCTAGGGGAGATGGGGGACTTCTTCAGATTTGAGGAAGAGTTCAAAGATGCCACTCAGTGGATAGACGGCATGAATGAGATGCTGGAGGGGGTGAGTTTCAAGAATTATATATTTTCATAATCATCATATTCTGGTATAAATCTATACAACACATGCAAATGACGACCGGAGAATAGTTGGGAAGAGTTTTCAACTCCGCAGATTCTGAACTGACATCCCGGGTTGACCAAAAATGCTTATCATACAATTCTCATAAATGGGAAAATTCTTTTCATAGAGTTTCATACAATTCCATACGTACAAAAAATTGTATGAAAACTCTATGACAAGCATTTTCCCATAAATGGAAATTGTATGATAGATATTTTCTCGAAAAACCAAAAAGTTTTTTGTTCGTAAATTCATTTTCTGGCAAGTTTTCGGTAGTGTTTGCAACCAAACACAAGTGACAAAGACTTTGGGTACTCAAAGCAGCAAAGGTTGGACGGTCTTGCATTTACAATGCATAGAAACCGACTAGAATTGTCTTCGAGCTGTCCCTCACAAATGATATAACAAAATTAACAAACTTTTAGTTTTTGGCAAATTTTTTCAATGATGATTATTTCAAGTTTTTGAATTTTTCATTTTATCAGACATTGATCAAGGCTTACATAAACACGCCTTACGAAAGAAATAGGAATTTTCAGGGTTTTTGAAAAAAAAATTTTAAGTGAAAAGAAAAAAGCCAATATTATCGTATCCAGGACTACGTTATGCACACAAAAATTTAAATTTTGCATGCAAAAAATTTTTTTTCGGAAAATGTTTGTTTGCGTACAAAATTCGATTTGCGCTTGAAAAAAAAACCAAAAAGATTTTAGGGCAAATTTTTGTGTCGTATATGGAAATTGTATGGGAAGCATTTTTTTCAAAAAAATATTAGACTCAGTTTTTTTTTGTCACCAGTCTGTTCAATTGTTCTCAAAAAGCCGCAGAAATGGTTTAATTTTTTTGCTATTGTTTTTCGAAAATGTATGAAAACAATACAAATGTATGATCTTTGTTTTTACCAACACTTTTCAGTTGTTGTGAAAGTCATTCAAGCAGGGCGAATCTAGTGTTTTCTCGAGATGGGTTGGGGGCGAATTTTCAAAAAAAAACTCGAAACTTTGTTGACATTTTTTAAAGTCGGCCAATCTCTTTTTCTGAGAGCTCCCAGAACATTATTAACACCCTTTTTTGATTTTTGTTGGATTTTGGAACTGTTTGGACTGTTAAAAAAGTTTTTTTTTTAAATATGGACGTTTAAAAAAGCACTGTTAAAAAATTATTTTTGGCACTGTTTGGAATTTTTTGACAAAAAATTGCGTTTTTTCGACACGCGCTCCTCTTCAAAATTAGTGCATATTGGCGACAAAATGGCCTTTAAAAAATTTTAGGTTTGGTCAGCCAAAAATGGAAGTCATAAAATAATAGCAAAGGGGTCCTTTGGTTGGTGAGGGGGTCGATTCCCCGAGAGGAGCGGTGGTGAAGTGGTTACGTCTCCGCCTCTCAATCGAAAGGTCGGATGTTCGAGGCCCACCATGATCCGTGCTCGTTGCTTGAGGGTGAAGCAACATCACCCAGCCCAGAAAAATAACCAAAAAAATTGCATGTAGTTCCTTAACAGGGGCACAACAGCGGTTCGCCGTGTTGAGCTGTACAGCTCTCGTATTGGTCCTTTCCCCCGTGGATAAATCGCCTTAATCTTAATCTTAGGAGGGGCGTCCGTCCCCCCGTCGCCCTTTCCCGAAATCCGCTCCTGAATTCAGGGTATCAATATCTTGCAAATTGACTAAACTGAAGCAAAACATCGATGGGAGAAACGCAATCTGTGTTAGAAAAATATTAAAACATGAATTTTTCTGAAGATCATTTTTCTGGATAACAAAAAAGAATTGAAATTCAATCACAGCAAAACTAAATTTTAATATTGCTTTGAAACTTGTCTCAGGATCTTCCGAATGACGTGAACTCGGCCCACGCCCACTTGGATCGCCATCAGGACCTCATGCACGAGATGGATGCGAGGACTCCTCAGATCCAGCGCATCTCAGGGTATCTGAAGGTACTCAAACACCACCCACAGTACCTGGACATCAAACAGAGGGTGGAGAGTATCGATTATGGACTCACTGATTTGCACAAGTAAGGGCGCTATTCGACAAAAGTTCGTTTGAACAAATTATTACTTGTGTTTCCATAGTGTGTTTTTATGAGAAACCGTTTTCTATCCATGAAACGGTTAATAGCTATCAGAGATGGATTGAGGAGAGGGGGTGATCTTACTCTTTAGACCTGGCGTTTATAGTTGCGAAGCACTGTGCGGAGAAAAATCCATCAGTTAAATTTGGTATGCTAAACGTCACATTTCTATAAGAAGCAACAGAAATTAGAGTCAAAATGTCAGAATAAAAATTATTTTACTGGGTCGAAAAACTTTTCGCTTAGTACTTGACCCTGTGTTTGGGAGAAAATCTTGAAAAAAGAAAGATTTTCAAAATTTCATGTTTTTTGATTTTTTTGATAACTTTGATAATCTTGTACCCCAAAACTTACTTCATAAACACCATACGGCTGTTTGAATTTTGAAACTTAGCCCTGATACGGGTAGTATTGGTACTTCAACAGTCTCTTTTTTGTATTTGTGTGTAGTAAGTATGGCGAGAGGGAGGAGTTGCTGGAGAAGAATGTGGAGTTCCAGGTTATGCAGAAGGAGTTCAACACCAACCAGCAGTGGATGCAGGACAGGGAAAACAGGCTGGAAGAGGTAAAACGAGACAAAGTTTGAACAATATTGGCAACTTGTGTTATATGATTACTTCCTTTTTTTTTGCAACAACCTGTGTTCAGTTCTTGCATTAAAAATGCTTCCAACTGTTCAAATATTATTCAAATATCATCCAAACTGTTCGTATCTGGGCGAAATTTTAGCTTTAAAAATCGACAAAAAATATTATTTTCAGTGAAGAACATGTAAGAAATTTGGCAAAAAAAATGGACTTTCTCTATAAATTCAATTTTTCAATTTTATATTTGCACCCGCTATGTAAGTACAGAATGATAAAATTTGCGTATGGTAAGGTATTATTAGGGGCAAGCTGCCTGCTTCAATTCAATTTGAAACGACTTAACTTGCCACTTACTAGTTTTAAAAGTTAAATTTTGTATGGCAAAAAACTACC